ACAAAAAAAAAAGGGGGGGGGGGGGAAGTCGGAAACAAGCACGAAGGGGTGAAGCGATTGGAATTGGATTTTCGTAATTTCCTCGTCGGCCGAGCCGGATTTTCGCCTCCGGATTTGGAGCGATCCACCCAAGTTGGCGACACTGCCCCTTCCGGCAATCGGTGGATCCTTTCATTCGGGTGCAACGGGTGGAAAAGGTCAGGGCGGTTTGGACACCTGCCTCGACGTTTATGGAGAGGGGGGGATGGGGGGGGGCCCAAGGACGTGCTCCCCCACGCACGCCCCCGAATCGGAAACTGTGTCCTCAATGGTTCGGTTCCGCGTTTGCCACAGTGTCGCGTTATTTTCAGGTGAAACCAGGCATATTTATTTTCAGGATTTCGGGTAAAGTTTTGCACGATCGCTTGAGAGTGAGCTCTTTCTTTCTCATTTGTTGAGAGTTTCTATCTTCCTCGGACGAAGCGCCCGATCGTGACCCCACGAGCACCATGAAACACCTTAAGGCTCTATTACACGCAAGGAAACGGGGAGAATGGTTTTAGGCTTCAGATTGCACCCGCCTCGAGTCTTCCGAATTCGTCGATTCGTAGCGAGTGCCAGCCGGCGAGATGCGCAAGGCGAGTGACCTTTGCGAGTCCCGCCAAGGACATCCGGACCATCGAAAACAAACGACGAAGCTTACCGCATCGCGAAAACGGGAGAGGGCGGATCTCGCAGTTCCTCCTCGCGAGCCGAGGCCGTCATCATCGAATTTGTGGCGCGTGACGGTGACGTCAGACGGTTTCAGCAGAAAAGCCCCTCGGGGTTGTCGACGCAGCCAATCACGCTCCCTTCTGGAAACTTCGTCCGGTGATTCAGCCGGCGACGCACGCAGTCGGGTATAAAAGCGGAGCGCCGGCGCACTCCCCAGTTCAGTTCTGTTCGAGTCTCGGACCGACGCGCATCGATCCTTCGGCTATTAACCTCGAAGATGAGAGTGCTTTTGGTTCTGTTGTTTGCCGGCCTCGCCGTCGCCTCGCCTCGAAGTGAGTTTCCTCCACCCCCCTCACCCCTTCTTCACCCCCCCTCCTCCCCCCCTCTTTACCCCCCTCTCATCCCTAAATCGTGATTCTCGTCACTGACTCGATCCTCGTTTGGAATCAGGCCGCTACCGTCGCCAACTGGTGGTGCAGCGCCCCGAGGCGGAGGCGGACGTGGAGACGGACGCAGAGTTCGTGCCTCCGAAGCAGGACACGTTCCAGCAGGAAGAAGACGAAAACGAAAATGGGAACGGGAACGGAAACGGGAACAGGGGCGACGAGAGGGGAACGGGATTCCAGACGTTCGTCTTCCGTCCGTTCTTCCCTCGCGTCCGGATGCCGTTCTTCGACTTCCGTCTCCCGACCTTCAGGCCCTCGTTCGGCGCCTACCCGCCCTTTAACCGCCGTCAGCCGTTCGGGGGGGTCGTCGAGGTCGACGTCGGGGGAGACAACGACGGGGACGACTCGCAGGTGGAGGAAGACCGATTCCCGGTCGTCCGGCCCGAATCGTCCCGGCCGTCTCTCTTCAACTTCGGCAACGTTTTTGACGAATTCACGCGTGAGTTCGGTTCCCGTCTCTCGACGCGATCGAGCGAATGCGGATCGTGATCGGCACGTGTGGGACATTTGCAGGTCATTTCGAGGACTTGGAGCGTCGAATGAGCGTGCTGTGGAACGCCCTGCGGAATCGCGGCGACGACGATGACGATGGCGATGGCGCTTCACCCGATGCGTTGCCCAATGGCTACCGCAACACCACCTCCACCACCAAGGTGAGAAAAAAAGGGGGGAAGAGAAGAGAAACTGAGATTTTAACAGCGCCGTCGTATAATGCAGCTTTACTTTCAGGAAATGCATATTTTCCCTTAAAGCTGCGTTATCGGGAAGTTCTCTTCAAAAATTCACCATAACTCTCGTGCGTGAAAGTAGAAGGGAAAACGAATCTGTGGACCGTGAGAGCGGTATGAGAGAAAACGAGGAATTATCAGGAAGCCTTCGTGGGAGAGGGGGGGGGGGGGAGATTTCTTCGTTGCCAACTCTTTTAAGATAACTGCTGCGAGAATATTGTCTTCTGTTGGTATTTTGGGCAGGGGACAAGGAAATACAAGGGTTAACGGACCATTGCTAACAGAGTGCGATCAGGATGTGCCTCGTCGATCCTTTTCGTTGCACGACCTCGCCTGCTTCCCACTCGATTGCTTAAGAGGTGGATTTAAAGCGCGGCGTCGACCCGACGAAGCAGTCGCGGAACCGCTTTGGGTTCCTCGCACGTGTCGAGAGGCCGGGGCGCATCGACGTGCCGTACTTTCCCCATTGTTTGATGGCTGGATCGGTTCCTGTCGGTCCGTCGGGGAAAGGAAGAGGGGTAAGAGGGGCAAGGGTGAAGAAAAAGAGGCCTAAGAGGCCCTTCCGGCGAGATGGCCTCCTTCCTGGAACTGCGCGACCCGAGTCAAAACATGAATGTAGCTTACCGTCTTGAACCCGTGCTGCTCTTTGATGAGCCGATAGTGTGAGGTCTGCCTGGCATTTACGAGGAAGACCCCCCCCCCTTCCCTCGTGACGTAGACTGCTGGCGGCCGTAGCGGTTCTGTCGTCGAAGTGGGACGATGAGAAATTTTCAATAGTCTATTCACGGAAGGAAAGTAGGGGAATTGCGGATGACTGTTCGGAAGTTGGGCCGAGAACTGCCTTTCGGTCTCGAAGAAAATGCAGGTTGCTTCGTGGAAAGTCGCTCGGAAGGAAATAGCTGGGGGTTTGCCAGAAATGTGGTTGCGTTTCCCATTAGTAAAACTTGCAACATTTTATGCGTCAACAACCAAGCATTATTTCCAGTTTGTATGTTCGTTGGTTAATAGGTGGCACGGGAAAACGATGCAAGGCAAAAATAAATTTGCATACGTATAGTGCATCCCGAGAGACTTAGCGTCCTCGAACGAATACGGACTGCCCTTTGCCTCCCGTTTCCTCCGTGCTCGATGGCCATCACCTCTCCTTTCGTCCCTTTTTAGGTGGTGAACGGAAGCATCGTGACCGTGAACGAGACCGTGCACAAGACAGGCGGCGACGACGGCCAGTCCTTCTTCCACTTCAAGGTCGTCCACATCCGACCCGAGTTCGGCCAGGGTTCGGACGTGGAAGTGACCCAAGAGGAGGACGAAGAGGAGCAGGACTTCGAGTACCCGGGACAGAAGGGGACGGAGGCGCCCAAGGTTCCGGAACAGGAGCAGCAGGGCTCCGAATTCCCGGGGAAGAAGCAGGAGGGAGGCTCCGAGTTCCCAGGAAAGGAGCAGGAGGACGAATTCGAAGAGTTCCCGGGGAATAAGGGGACCGAGTCTATTTCCGAGGGACCCGAGCTGTTCCCGTTGGAGCCGCTGGAGGTGAACGAGGTACTCAAGGATGACGAAAAGGTACCCGTCGTGAATCTCGGCCAGTTGACCCTCTCGTAAGAGTCCCGATCGTCCCCCCTCCCACTCCCACTCCCACCCCTCGACCAAAGAATATTTGCACCCGGAGAAGTCCTTTGTCGTCGTGACTGCATGTCGTTTTGTTTCCAGTAGCCATATGCCTTGACTGTGATTTTGACCCTTTCGGATGTTCGTTTTTGATTTGTTTGCTGTCCTTGGATCATAAAAGCATTTGATCGTTTTTTACGTAAGAACTTGGCTTTTTTTTCTGGCTCCACTTCGCATCCTCTCTTCGAGAGGCACGAAAACATGGAATTTCTTTTTTTTTTTCTTGTTGCGCATATCGCTTCATCATAACTTTTCTCTGCCATCGGCACCGGTGAGGGTTCCGATCCGTTAACCGATTGAAATTGCTCGGTTAACGGCAATGCGGCGCGGTGGGTTAAATTCCTAGAAGTGAGCCTCAACTCGATCTAATCGCAAACGCCACCGACAAAATCGATTCAACTTCGTCCACACGCTCGAGTTGGTCGATGTTGACCCCAGATGTTCCCTGGCGGACGCCAAGTACCATCCCGGTTACGTAACACCGCGATCGACAGCCGTCAGGTTCACTCTGGCTTCACTCGCACCATTGGCTCATTACGTAATAGTACGATGCACATTACGTAATGAACGGGAGAGAGAAACCAAGCAAAATTCGACCGACGTCTTCGAATCGCGAACGAGCAAGATCGAAAAGCCAGTCGGCCGCGTCAAGGTCAAGGTGTTCTTCGTAAAGGACGACGGATCACGTGATCCATCCTTTGCATGTTTACTCTTGGCAGTTCCTCTTCGAAAACACGCTGGGTGCGTCTCTGCACGCGTGCATAAAACATGCGGCTGAGGACGCGGAATGCCCTCCGGCGGGTCTCTATGCATTCGACCTTGAAGGAAAAAAAAAATCGGGGAAAACCCTTGATGGAAATCCCAGATGGAAACCGGGGCTTCTCCGTCTCATGGCCCCTGACACTTAACCCCGGTTAGATCGCGGTTTTCCGTTCTCGATTCCACGGTGGAGAAATGTGGTTTCACCTCGCGGTTCCTCGCGGCACGCGGCTCGAGCCGGAGTCGATCTGCGAAATGCACCCGACCTCGTACCATTTTTATTATTCATTTTATCATGTATTTATTTATTCCGTCGGTTAGTTAACCGGATTCCCTGGACCCGTCCGGTCCGGCAGACGCACATTTCCCGGAATCCGAGCCGTCGAGAATCCTGCAAGAATTTTTCCGTCGAATTCCCTGCGATTTCTGCGTCGTTTCTCTGCGACGGACCACCTCGAGCCGGCACGGAACACCCGTCGAGCCGGCACGAACGCAGCAATGCTTTCATCGAGTCTCATCGCGGCTCGGATCCCGCATCGAAGCGAGAAGGAAACCCAGCACGACATAGACCCCAGCCGATCGACCTAGACCCGACTCTGCCCCCAGGCGACCGTCGCCGAGGGGGCGGGGGCAAGGGGGAGGGGGCGGGGGGGAGGGGGGTGAAGGGGGTCGAAGGGGAAGTCAGATGGAACTCGTGATATCCTGGTCATCGCACCCGGTTCCATGTGATTCCTTCGAAAGACACTCTTCGCCGCTCCTTCGACTCGACATTTCTTTCACGGCTCTCGTCTCATGAATTAGGGCTTGCCACGCGGACGTATGTCGACGATGATCGTCACGTGATGATACATCGTCGACCGTGATGATCATCACGCGACGATGCATCGTCGACTGCGACATATTCCATATCGGTCGTTCCACCACGAACGGTCCTTCGACCGGACGTTTCTTACGCTAAATTTTTTCTCGTTAAATCGGCTGAACTCCACCCGACTGAAAGCATTTGAAAGGAAGCGTCCAGCCGAAGAAATAGCGGAGAAGAAGCGTCTTTCGAAGAAACGACATGGAACCAAGAGACGCATCCCTTCCCCCCCCCCCCCCCCCCCCCCCCCCCCCCCCCCCCTCCCTCCCCTCCCCCTCCACTAAAAAACCGGCTGAATGCGGTGCCGGCACCGTTTCCTTCTAAGTTGCGTTACCGTTACGTTGCACAACCCTCGAGCTCGAGAACGATATATTTCTGGCACTCGTAAAGAATTCCTCTCACACAAAAGGGGAAAGAATAGCCCGCCCGAAAGGGGAAAGAATTGCCCTCGCACGAACGGGGAGGGAAGCGAAAGGAATGCATGGAAGATGAGTCCAGCTTCCTTCCCGCATCTTCGGACGCTTCGTCGGTGGCGGACCGAAGATGGAAAAATAATAATAATAACAATAAAATGGAAATAAATGTTTAATGAGGCTCGAGCGACGGCATCAAAAGTCGATCCGAGAACAAAAAGAAAGGGAACTCCAGCCATCATTTAGTCGCCGGATATCACGCAATATTTGCATAAACCGGTGAAAGACGGACTTCCCACAGATAGCGCATCATCACCGCGTGATGAAGCAACTTTAGGAGCCGCTTTCGAAGCAGGAAGGACCGAGGAAAGGACCTTGCCTCCGAGGCCTTTCCGCCCGCATCCTGGAGACAAGCGGAGAAAGGACCGAAAGGTTCTGCTTCCTGCCCTCAAGGCGGACAAGGTCACGATGTCTCTTAATTCATTTATTTTTGTCTTTATTTTGTAGTAGTTTTTTGTCAGTAATTTAATTAATTAAATTTATTTATTTAATGTACTTTATTTAATTTATATGCAGGGTGAAACGAAAGTTCGTACTCATAGGTAATTGGAACAAATTTAAGTTTATCTCATGAAATGTCGAAATTGGATAAAATTCCTCGCAAGCCCCTCTCTCCGGCAAAACCGGAAGAAACCCAATTCCACCTTTTCCTGCGGTGTGTCGTCACCCATCGTCTTCGACAAGAAACACCTGGAAAAGTAAAATTAAATAGTTCCTGTCACCGCCGAGAACGGACTCTCGTTACACCCCGTATATTTAAATTTTACGTTCGTGTTAAAATTCAGGCTTTCGTGACCGGCGAGAACTCGAAGTGGAACTCGTTTTGCGTTTCGAAGAGATGAAAACCCGAGAGGAATCCATTGCATAGTTTTCCTCGCGAGACTCACTTTCATCGAGCTGGAAACGGCTCGGGTCGCATTCAAAGTGCGAACGCCCGATTTAGAGAGATCCGAGAGGCTGGGATCATTTTTCACCCGATGCTTTTGCCGACTGGTGATTGGATGACCCTTTGACCCCTCTTTGCCCTCCCTTGGCCCCAGCTCACGGATTCCCTTTCTCCTCGCATAATTTCTAGGAAGCGGAAGTCTCTCACTCAGACATCGAACCGGTTCCGCAGAAAAATGAGATAGCACTGCGAAATTTATCGCCATATAGAAGCTCCGCCTTTCCTCCTCCCGCGTCGTGCCACGAATCAAGCCGTGGAACTGTTTGCACGAGAGAGGAAGAGCCAATCGGAGGCGACTGCGAGCAGACGACGTCTCCGGTCTCCACCAATCGGATGCTCGTCTCGAGGAGCGTCGTCTGCTCTAGTTATCCGCGTCTATAGTAAGCAAAAATAGCAGCTCGACTGGTCTGCGTGGCTTTTGCTTTACTCACTGTGAAAGAAAAAGGCTTCGCTCTCACTTTCCTTTCATTCTTGCAGCTTTATTAATGACTTCTTGAATTTTATCATCCCGTATTCCGATTTTGGTCGGGTGAATCCACTGGACCCGTTAGTTTATTGTCGGCAGGGTTATTTTTTTAAATATACCCCGATCTCCAAATGCTCAAGTAAAGAATCGATTCTCGAAAGCTTTTAACGACACTCTGCAGCTATCTCTCGTGAGATGCAATCATCTCTGCGAGATTTAATCGCTGGTGATTCCGAATGAAAACAAAAAGAAGATGGACTGGTGGAACGAAGATCAACTCAAGGAGATTTCTGCAATTTGCATTAATTACGATCCGTCGAGGCTCATGCGTATGAGCAAATATTGCCATTTCTGAGAAATACGCATTTCAGATGAAAATGTTAATGAATAAAACAAATAGTTAATTAAATAATAGTGCAAGGAGCGCCTATAAAACGATCTCGACAATATAATTTACCTATTTACTTATTTATTACTGGTCGTCGCGAGCAAATAGCAATCCAAAATTTGGTACTGCAATATAGGCTTTCGTGGTTCGAATAAAAAAAAAAATTATTTCATCGGTGTGAGAACTAACATCGGTACACCAGTACCAGTACCAGCGAGAACGGTCCCGAACCCGATTCCCATAAGCGAAAATGCAGACAATTTTAACGATGCAAAACTGACAACGAAGTCGGTCGCGTCGCCGCGCAATCGCAGGCTTTCGGTTTTAGGATTTCCTTCTTCGATAAGTAAAAAAGAGAAAAGTTTTTTTTTCTTCTTTTTTTAGCGCGGGAATCTGAAGCATCCGGTGGCATTTCCTGGACTCCCAACAAGTTTAATCCTTGATCCAGATACGCGTTTTTGCCTCACTCCGTTCCAATTAAATTGAGAGGGAAAAATAAAAGCTTTCCTCCATCCGGAAGCAGATGCAATCATCCCACTTTTTGTGTATTTTTTTTTTCGAGGGGACATTGTTCCACAATCCCAATTGGATTTTCCATCCTAGGATATGCAGTTATTGTCTATTCGGCCTCAAAAGACACACTTGCCGCTTCGATGCGACAGGTCAAGGAGGAGCCTCCGTCTCCTCACCTGAGACATGGTGAGTGGAGGGTTTTTCCTTCAATCGGGCGAAGCGGGATCCCAATGGATCTCTCGCAGCCGACTGAAAGGTGCTGCCCTTCACCTGACAACACTGAAGCGTGCCATGAACCTTGAGCCCCCCCCCCCCCCCCCCCCCCC